ACTTCCCAGCAGGAGCTGCTGAATCAGACTCGCCCTCCTTCCCTCCTCTCCCAAACCCCAGCCACCCTCGCTCTGACCCAGTCACATCCGTTAGGAAACCCCCCTGCTTTAATCTGGGCCTGGTCTGGACTACTGGCACTTTTAATCTGGCAACTAAATATGCACACAATGTTAGTCTAGACCACATGAGAGGGCAGTCTTTGACCTCATGCTGTTTCCGATTACCCAGATATCACTGTCTTTCAAGTTGTCTGCACCTTATTTCTGCATTGTCCTACAGGTCAAACTCTTGTCAGAAAAAGGACTAGAAGAAAACGAAAGCAAGAGCGAGAGCGAAAGAGAGACAGTTCTGAGCTGCCACATCAGAGGTAGCCTTTGAAAGTGGCGCCGGGGGCCCCCGTCAGGGTTGTTACTGTGAGTGCTGGTCTGGACTCTGGACACAAAGGACCATGTGGGCCTAAACCATGTTTTTATTGCCCAGTCATCAGCATGGATTAGCCTGGCTCAGCTCAGTTTCCAGGGAGGGCTAGAGGGGCCTGTACTGATGAGTATACCCCCGAAAGAGGTGGGGAGAGGTTCCGCTACACCTAGCTACAACCAGAGAGCAATGCATTTGAGCTCCATCTTCCCACACCAGAAGATTGCTGTGTTCGGGAACCTAAATTGAGTCAGCCTATTGGCAACCTAGAGGGTGGAAATAGCCATGTATCCCTATCCTCCTTGGCTGTGTCCTGTAGAGCACTTAGCCTACATGGCCAGCGGACCTACGTCCTTGTCTTCTTCAGTCTCTCTTTCCACAGAGAGGTTAGCCAAACTCCCCCGGCCTCACGGTAACTATTGTCTCATACAAGATCGCAACAGATTCCAGGCCCACAGAACATCTACAAACCCCACACCCTCCATTTTGTACACCACGGTTCCATGGTTCCCCAACTGGCAGCCCGCAGGCTGAATTTGGCCCTCAGGTGGTTTTATTTGGCCCACCAAGTTTTTTTTTTTTTATTGTTGGACATAATATACTAAAAACACCAGGAAATCAGCTCCAAGTGATTTTAATTTAAGAAATCTGTTTCCAAGTATTCCCACACATAGAGAGAAATGTGATCGTATACAAATGTAAGCAAGGTTTGAAATTATGTTTTAGTCAAACATATCTGTTTGGGCTTCTTGCGGTCAATTTGCTGTTTACAAATTATTTGTAATTATGTTCCAGCCCCCCGACCATCTGCTCAAGAAAAAAATTGGCCCACGGCTGAATCTAGTTGATGATCCCTTCCGTACAGTTACCCACACTCTCAACACTTCGCTCTACCTTCAACCTCAAACCTTTATTGCTACTCCCAAACACCTCATAATGGTAGGAACAGGCTCTCATCCTTCTGTCTTCACTCTGACACGTAAATGAGCACACATGGCTGTGTTGTTAATTGAGTAAAACACTATCCTGCTTGATAACCACTTAATTGAAAGATGTGTCAAACACAATTCTCTCATTTCTATAGTGGGTTTCTTCATGGAGTGAGCTGCTCACAGGCTGGCAGGAGTGTGCCGGCTGGGCCAGGGTGCCGGAAGCAGGAGGGTCGACCCAGTTCAGTTGAGCCGCCCTGAACAGAGTTGCATCAGGGCACAAAAATGTTCAGCTCAGCGACCAGAGAGCTGTAATTATAGAGGAGCTTTGCTGAGCTCGGCAGGAAGAACATCAAGGCCTGAGAGAAGTAGCAAGGGATGGGCCAGAGGAAGAGAGAGCACTTCACCATGCACAAAATACTAATGATAGAGAGGAGGAAGGGTGGGAAAGAGGAAAGTGAGATAGAAAGGGGGAATTGGGTGTGTGTAAGGGGGAGAGGTTGTTTTTTAACAACTTTAAAAACATGGTAAGTTTCCATTGCAGTCTCTCAATTAACTTAAAACTGCATTTAGCGGTAGATACTCACACAAACTAATTAACTACAGCACTGCAGAGCAAAATGCATGTATTTTATTGGCTTGACAAAGCCATATAGCAGGGTTCTTCAATTCCGGTCCTGGAGGGCCGAAACACTTCTGTTTTTTATTTCTACCTGGTAGTTAATTGCACTCACCTGGTGTCCCAGGTCTGAATTAGCCCCTGATTAGAAGGAGAGGATGAAAAACAGAGGTGTTTCGGCCCTCCAGGACCGGAATTGAAGAACCCTGCCATATAGGGAAATGCTATTCTAACCATCACATATTCCTCATCTGACACTCTTTTTTTAGAGCCATTTGTTTCAGTAATAAAGTACAATTTAAATTCTCCCCCAAAGTGTATGCCAGAAAACATTTCCATTCAGCTTTCCTATTAATAACTCATGTTCATCAGCTCTTTAGTCTCTTCATCTACTTCACTCCATGGCCCTTCCTACAAATGCCTATTGTCCATCACTGACACCTTGTGGATCTCTAATATTACTGCAACTATTTTTTTGTTGTTGACTGGCCTTGGTTTACAGTAAACTCAGAAAAGAAAAACGTCCTCTCACTGTCAACTGCGTTTATTTTCAGCAAACTTAACATATATAAATATTTGTATGAACATAACAAGATTCAACAACTGAGACATAAACTGAACAAGTTCCACAGACATGTGACTAACATAAATGAAATAATGTGTCCCTGAACAAAGGGGGGGTCAAAATCAAAAGTAACAGTCAGTAGTATCTGGTGTGGCCACCAGCTGCATTAAGTACTGCAGTACATCTCCTCCTCATGGACCAGATTTGCCAGTTACTGCAGTGAGATGTTACCCCACTCTTCCACCAAGGCACCTGCAAGTTGTCCTCTGTAGCTCAGCTGGTAGAGCACGGCGCTTGTAACGCCAAGGTAGTGGGTTCGATCCCCGGGACCACCCATACACAAAAATGTATGCACGCATGACTGTAAGTCGCTTTGGATAAAAGAGTCTGCTAAATGGCATATTATTATATTATTAAGTTCCTGGACATTTCTGGGGGGAATGGTCCTAGCCCTCACCCTCCGATCCAACAGGTCCCAGACGTGCTCAATGGGATTGAGATCCGGGCTCTTCACTGGCCATGGCAGAACACTGACATTCCTGTCTTGCAGGAAATCACGCGCAGTATGGCTGGTGGCATTGTCATGCTGGAGGGTCATGTCAGGATGAGCCTGCAGGAAGGGTACCTACCGCATGAGGGAGGAGGATGTTTTCCCTGTAACGCACAGCGTTCAGATTGCCGGCAATAACAAGCTCAGCCCGATGACGCTGTGACACACCGCCCCAGACCATGACGGACCCTCCACCTCCAAATCCATCCCGCTCCAGAGTACAGGCCTCGGTGTAACGCTCGATCCTTCGACGATAAACGCAAATCCGACCATCACCCCTGGTGAGACAAAACCACGACTAGTCAGTGAAGAGCACTTTTAGCCAGTCCTGTCTGGTCCAGCGACGGTGGGTTTGTGCCCATAGGCGACGTTGTTGCCGGTGATGTCTGGTGAGGACCTGCCTTACAACAGGCCTAAAGCCCTCAGTCCAGCCTCTCAGCCTATTGTGGACAGTTTGAGCACTGATGGAGAGATTGTGCGTTCCTGGTGTAACTCGGGTAGTTGTTTCCATCCTATATCTGTCCCGCAGGTGTGATGTTCGGATGTACCGATCCTGTGCAGGTGTTGTTACACGTGGCCTGCCACTGGGAGGACGATCAGCTGTCCGTCCTGTCTCCTTGTAGTGCTGTTGTAGGCATCTCACAGTACAGACATTGCAATTTATTGGCCATCTTACTTTTGGTGTTTTTCCAGTCAGTAGAAAGGCCTCTTTAGTGTCCTAAGTTTTCATAACTGTGACCTTAATTGCCTACCATCTGTAAGCTGTTAAGACCGTTCCACAGGTGCATGTTCATTAATTGCTTATGGTTCATTGAACAAGCATGGGAAACAGTGTTTAAACCATTTACAAATGAAGATCTGTGCAGTTATTTAGATTTTTACAAATTATCTTTGAAAGACAGGGTCCAGAAAAAGGGACGTTTCTTTATTTGCTGAGTTTATATGCCATTTTCAGCTTCATAGTAATAGATTACTAAGAAATCAATCAGTTACTGCAACATGAAATGTGTGAAATAGTTAAAAAATGGAATCCATTTAGCTCTATTTGTTTTGCTACAATGATTGAAAATAAATATGGCCATCTCCTACTGATAGAAGTCCTCTCTTGCAGAAAACAAGTGCAAAAGCTTTTTCAAAATTTTATTTGTACATTCACCACTTACAGGAGTAAACAAAAAAAGAAAAGCTTTAATAATGATTTTTAAAACTATTAAAACCATTTGTGTGGCGTTCTAATATGCACCCCTTCTCCAGCTTGCGTTGACCGTATAGGGAGAACCCTATTGGGGGATTTGGGGGGGGGGGGGGGTTGACAAAGGATGCACAGAAAGAAGCATGTAGAAGATGAAGACATCAGAGGAGTGTGTGTCATTTCTAATCTCTTGCAGATAATATAGTCTCATCCCTCAAACTAAACAAAGACACAGGGGACAGAACACTGCACAACCCCGTCAGTCCTCCCTAGGACACAAGGCGGAGGACGGCGGACTGGGACAGCATGCAGCAATGACGAAGCACCCCACAGAAACCAGTTGTGGAACACACACAACACTGGGGAAGGCTAAAAACCGATGTGTGTGTATACACAGAACTCTACGTAGAGCACTTACGCTTCAGAGACACATGGGGGAGGGTTGGTTGCCTTACCGTCGATCTGCCAAGAATATAATATAAAAAAAAGGAATAAGAAAACACTCAGGCAAAATGAACACAAATAAAATCTCAAGACAGATAGCAGTCTGGGGGAAAACTAAACCATGGTCCCTATCTGTATGTGTGTCAGTGTGCGTTAAAAAAAAAAGTGACAGATAGTGACTACACCTGTTGGTCTACTGTAGGGTCTTATATTGTAATGAAGTAAATGTAGTGATGGGGAATGGGGGGTTATTTTAAGACAGTTCCAGCCACACCGATTCCCTCTAGCATCGTCTGTCACGAGGTGGGGTGTCACTGCGGCTGCGGGAGCGTCTGCCCCCCCCTGCACTGCTGCCCCGAGGTCTGCGGTAGCCACCTTCTCTGTGTTTGTCACTCTCTCCGTCTCTGCCCCGCTCTCTCTCTCTGTACCGCTCCCCCTCGCCTCTTTCTCCAGATGCGGCACTCCCGGCTTTCATCCTTTCTTTCCGCTCTTCCTCCCTTTTCTTCTCCACCTCCTCTTGCTGCTCTTTCCTCCTCTTCTCTCGCTCCTTCATCCTCTCCTGTCGAGCTGCTTCCTTCTGTGCAACCTGCCACAGAGACAGAACATGGGAGAATATCAGAGGTGTGGAATGTGAACAATTTAAATCAATACTTTCAACAAATGTAAGGAAGGACATGTGGACCCCATATCATCAATAAGACATGAATGTATTATCTTGTTCACATAGTTGAGTTGTGTGTGTATAACCGACCTGCTCTTCTGTGAGGGGGAGCCAGTATATACAAGGGGCTGCTTTGGTTTTATTGAACAGGTCATCCAGCAGTTTGACAGGAGGTTCGTCTGCAGCTTTCTCTGAAGAAACAACACAAACACAAAGAGTAAACATACAGTTGACCCAACAGGACACAGATCTAAACCCCCATCTCTCCATCACCAACTCCTCACCTTTCTTGTCCGTCTTCCTCTCCTTGCGTTTCCTCTCTCTGGAGCGGGATCGTCTGGGGCCCGCTTCCTCTCCAGTTTTTCCTGGACCAAAGTCCCGGACCTTGTCCCTGTCCCACTCCCTCTCAGCCCGGGACCTCTCCCTGCGCTCCATCTCACGTTCTCGCTCCGCCCACTGGTCCCGCTCGGGCAGGAGAGGGGGCAAGGCCACCCCTCGAACAGGCACCGCCGCAGCCCCCCGCTCACACACCCCAGCCCTCTCAGGGGGATGCAGGCATCTGTGGAAGTCCAGCTAAACACACACACAGAGGAAAAGGAGTTACCATAAGGAACACCATAAGAACTGAAACATGAAAGAACTGGGGAACGATATCCATCATAGGTAGGGCAAAACCACGAGGACCCAGACACTCTTACCTCGTCTTGCTGACTGAAGTCCACACTGAGGAACTTGGGGTTGCTCTGAGGCCATTTCACCCCATGCAGGGCTGCACGTGTGGCCATTGACTCCTCTGCACTGGAGTACTGGAAGAGACAGGAGAGCAAGACAGGACATCCATTAGGGACAGTGAGGATTGCCTTAGATAAGACAGATAGTAGGGAGATATAGGAGCTGCTCTGGGCCGCATCTCAAATGACACCCTAATCCCCCCTATAGTCAAATACACTAGCTTTGACCATAGTAGTGTACTATACGGAGAATAGGACGTCGGTTGAGACGCAGCACTGGATTCAGGATGACGGCCAACAGACAGAGACGTACTGTGACGTAGCAGTGAGATTTGATCTTGTCGATCCAGAAGCCGTCCTCGAGCACGGTGCCGGTCCTGCCGAGCAGCTCCTTCAGCTGGCCCAGGGTGAACGGCCGAACCAGGTTGGACACGTGGACGATGTTGGACATTTTGCCTCGTGGAGGAGAGGGCTGCTTGGCCGTGCGGACAGGGTCGTCTATGGTGATGGACACGCCAGACTTCTGCTGGCTGATGGAGCGACGGATCAATGTGTCACTGGGGGTCACTGAGGAGAGGAAAGGATAGAGATACATCAACCTGAACTCACTCAACATATCAAAGGGTAGAATGTAGCCCAGGGTTAGAGGTTTTGATCTGATCTGATAATTAAGCACACAGTCCCCTGTAGCACAGTTGGTAGAGCAGGGCGCTTGCAATGCCAGGGTTGTGGGTTCGTTTCCCAAGGGGGGCCAGTATGAAAATGTATGCACTCACTAACTGTAAGTCGCTCTGGATAAGAGCGTCTGCGAAATGACTAAAATGTTTAAAATGTTAAGTTGCTCTTTAATTTTGGATCAATCTATCACCTGTTTTCATCTCCATGTCATGGCTGGGGGGAGAGGGGCATTGTGTCTCCATGGAGTCTCTCTGGAATGAGTCGTCCAACTTCTCCTCTCTGTCTCCTTTAACCTCCCCTCCATGCTCTCGGTCTTCCTCCTCATGTTCACTCCTCTTGGACTCCTTCTGTCCATTCTCCTGGGTCACTGACGGGACCACCTACATTACATTAGAGGTGGGTGGGGAAGAGGAGGCAGCGGCACACAGATGTTTTAATATGACATTCACAAATGCTAATACCTTTGGGTCAATTAAGAATGTTAGCCGTTATAGTAAATCCTACTGAATGCACCTTTATTAATGACTGCAGCAAAACCAATTTCCAGTAATACATTCCTACTACTTGAAACTAGATAAATGTACAGTCCACAGAACAGGTGAAGTTAAACTCTGACCTGTGTGACTGTGCGTCTGATCTTGAGGTCCTGCTCGCCCTGCTCCCTGTCCTCCTCCTCCACCCCAGAGAGGTGATCCTCCTCCAGGTGCAGATCCACCACCACCTCCTGGCCTGGACATGGCCTGATGTCTGGGATCAGAGACTGGGGAGAAACAGAATTTACAGATTAGGGGTGGAAGAAAAGGAAAAAAAGCATCAAGACTCAACAACAGATAGTAAAAGGTTTGTTAGTATTCATTATGAGAAGGTGTTTTAGATAAGTAATATGTACAACAGTATTTTTTGCAGTGTAATTGATCATGCTATACCTTCAGAGAGTCTGTGGTGATGCTCATGGATGATTTCTTGGCTGTGACTGCAGTGCTGGATCCCCACCTCCTCTTCCTCCCGGCCCCAGACTCTGTCTCGCCCTCTGCACTGACAGCACCTTGAGAGAGCTTGCTGCCTGGAACACAGACGGGAATTGAACCATGGCCAAACGCATAATCGCAAGCACACACAGACAACGCACGACACCGCATCTATAACTGGCTCTCACTCACACACAGGCAAATTAAACGAAAAACCAAGACTACCTACTGGGCTGAAGAAAACAATCAACCAAAACAGGCATGAGCATTTAGAGGGAGGTATACTCACTGCTAAGGGAGATCCTACGGGCTGTGAATGCCTTTGGTGTCAAACTCTGGGAAAAAAAAGAAATAAACACACCCCAAAGTACAGAGGGGAAAGGTGAGAGGCAGAGATGGAGAGGTGCATGGACAGATTGAAGGGAAGACAGGACAAGAGAGAGTGGGTGGGTGCACAAGGGAAGAGAAACTAGGTGAGAGAGACTGCAGGTCACTTTCCACCTCAACATATGACAACCAGACAATGAATAGCACCGGAGTCATATTGAACCGCAATATATATGGCTCTCAATGGCACACTGTAGTGAGCATACTGTGGATTATATCTATGCTTGGTCTCAAAACAGTGTGTATGGCTTTAAGATATGTAACATTAATGACTGAAGCCCCAAATGTGTTTATGATTGGTGTAGAAAGGTGTTAGGGGAGCCGAAGTCTCATACACACAGAAAGACAGATAGATAGTAGCTTGATAGCAATACTGCAGTTGAAATTAATTTCACTTTCATAGAACATCTGAATAGTGTAGCTGGTAAACTAAGTGGCTGCCAGGATTACTGAGACATACAACAAGACTATGAAATATTTGGTGGTTTACAACCGTTTTCATTCAAAACTGCAGTAGCCATAAATATGTAAATTAATCTATTTGGATTTGACAATTGTGTCGGAATCAATTCCCCCATTTTAGGCTAAGAGGAGGTAGTCGACAAACTATGCATTTCCTAATTATAGTTTTTTGATAGAAAATAACATTGAGAAAATGACTACTTATTCCCTGGTACCACTGACACCTGATCCTTACTGGGTTGGATATGGCCCAATCTCGACTGCATGTACTGTATCTAGGCAACAAGGGTCCAATCAAAGGAGGTTGTGAAGTTTGGCTGGATATCTGACAGCTGGTTGACAGGATGGGCTCTGTAGTTCAGTGGGGGCGGGGCTTGAGTGGCTTTTGAAAAGGTTTTGGAGTCAAGTCCTTAAGAGCTCAGGCATCAGTCCTTTCAGATCTTTGTCCAACTGAGGTTAAATGGAGATGGGATAATCAATGTTGAACAAGAGTCACTCCAAAAACTAGAAGGGGCGTAAGCATACACCCTCTTTCTCAGGGGCATCAGAAGACAGTCTGTTGGGTGACAGGTTGTAGCAGAAAAAGGGATCCAATTGGCAAATCCCTATTTCAGCCAACAATCTGACATGTTTGGTTGTGAGTCCAAAGAAATGCTAAAAACCATTGAGAATAATATAAAATGTCCGAGATCATGTCTTTGAAAAACAGCGATGAAGAGAAGCCCCAAGTTGGCCTCATGAGAGATTCATTCGGATCCCATTCTGAACAGTTGGAGAACAAAATCCAAAAATGTTATTTCTCACAGAAACCGTTTAGTCCAGAAAAAAAAGATTCACCAGTTAAACTGTCCATGCATGTCCATTAAGCAGTACATTCGTGTGTAGATGATGAGAAGACAAATGTACTGAAGCGACCCCATCGGAAGCCATCTACAGGCCTGTCGTTGAAGGGTTTGAAACAGTCTATAGAGTGTCTGCCTCTTCATCTCCACTCTGACCCCTCTGTGTGGTGAGATTGTACGTGGCCATACAGGTGTGTATGAACCAGTTGAGCCAGGTGTTGGTGACAGACAGACGAGATCAGTCATCCCAAACCCTCAGCCCATTAGTCCAATCAAGTGCCATCTCCGTGACAACGTGGCCTTTGTTGCCACAGCTGTCCCACTGCAGTGCAGACTCGGGGGGCCTATCTGTGGTATACCCAGGGCTCTTGGGGACATTGGAACAGGTGCAGCAGTAGTAGTGGCAGAAGTAGTATGCAGGTACCATTAGGGGCAATGGAAGAGGCATGAGCACCTTTATAACAAAGCAATCAATGGGGTTTTAAACATCAGCCACAGAAGGAGCATCTCCTCTGCTGGTTCTGTCTGAGATAGCATCAGCAAAGGTTTAAAAAAAATACACAGCTAATTATTATTTATTGTTTTATACCTTGCTCATATTTTTTTTTTAAGGTGCAATGTCACCAAATCAGTATCTTAATACTACATAAAAAAATAACCTAAAAGCACTTAATTGCCTACAATGAGATAGGGGATATAAAGCAAAAGGAACATGAGAGACATTGTTAACTGGAGAATACGGAGCACTGATAAGCTCAATAGCACCACCTAAAACTATGACCAAAAACAAACACCTCATCTCTCATTCCTCAACGAAGTGGTTAGTTTTGATGGCTGACAACTGGAGTGATGCCTCCTCACTGGTTGGCCAGTGACAGTCCAAGCCCTCTTTAGAGTCATAAAGTTCCAGTGTTCCTCAGTGGCCTTACCTCCTCACTGCTCTCAGGAGCCCTCTTAGGCTCAGCCATGGCAGCCTCATTCACCTCCCTATGAAAAAAAGAGAGAGAGAGCGCGAGAGCGAGACAGAGAGAGTGTGGTTCTGGTTAGTTGCAAAAAGGTATTCAGAACAATAGGGTCAAAAAAATATGCAATATGGGGATAGGATGTACAAGCAATATGGTAGTGTCCTGTCCAAAAAAAGAATGGCCTGCCTAACAGGGTGCTCCATACAGATTGGTGTAGAAGAGAAGAGGTGCAACATCTGCTGCAAATACTACATATGACCAAATAAGGCAGGAATCCCTCATTTGCAAATGTGCTTTTTAAGCATTTACTTCCATTAGAGAACAAACCTCATTTATAAAATATTAGGCGTTTGTTTTGTGCTTAATCAAATCCCAGAACTTGCTCTATTAGAATGTAATTATGCTTCTGTAAAAACTGAATTTGATATATGAAATTAGGTCTGCTAACAAAATGACAATAGATAAATGTGTATGCTTATTATTGCCATTCGCGCATTCTCTTTCCAATTCATGCAGATTCTGCAGTCACTTCGAAAAGCAAGGCATTTTGGAATATGCTATTCAAGCGCAATCCCTTTTCATTCATTCCGTCAAGGAGCGGCACAGTACAATGAGAGCGGTGACTGAACGCCCCCCCATACACCTCCCGTCCACCCCCACACTCACTCAACAGGACTCTTCTGCTTCGGATTAATAATCTAAGAGCGCAACATTTATCGCTACAAAATTGCAATGGGTTCTAAAAGAGCTGGACGACAAAACAATGTCGCTACAATGAAACACCGCAATTTGGGTGTTAATATAAAATCCCAGCACAACCACGAGCAGTCTCTTCTCTTCCTACCTCACGCTTTCCGGCTTTTAATCCCCCCGGACAGCATTTTTACAGAGCCCGGTAGATAGCCAAATATCTCAGCCCGATTAAACTATACAAGGAGACACGCGTTGCGATAAATTCGGCTGCTGGCGGATGCAATGCTTTGTCATCGGTTACAACCAAACCATACACGCAGCACAGCCATACTGAATTGAATGAAAAATGACAGGAAAAAGGACCCTCATCTTCTCAGCCACACCGGTTTCTAGGCAGGCGCATTAAACGCCTGACGGGAATTTTATTAACCTGTGATTCTTCCATTGACAACCCATTTAATAATAGGGGGTCAAGCACTGCATGTTTTAATGGTATTGTTCTTTTCCTGCTGTTTTATCTACAAATAGGGATGGTAAATCTTGCGAGGTTGACACTTGTATTCTCAGGTATTTTTCAGATTGGCTTTATGATGGAGTTATGCGTTTGGAATGGCAAACTTTATAAGCAGTATCCTGAATGCACATAGACACCACACAAAAGTTAGCAATCTTTTTTTAAGGTAATAATTTTATGTGGAGCATGGGTGGCCTGGAAATTAATGTGATTCATCTGGGTCATATCGGAAACCTGTAGCCACTAGCCAGTTATCACCCCATTTCAAATCATTTTACTAGGCTTGCTTGAATGATGAGCCAAGCAGACAATAACCGAAATGACCTTGAGTTGATGGTAACGTTCCTTCTAAACTGACTTGCCGGGTTCAGAAGAAATATCAGCCCATGGAGAGAAGCACAAGATTGAATTTAATTCAACTTTCTAGAATTTCCCCTGTTAGTTAACACTATCAACTTTTCCCTTTACTGTGGCAATTGTGATCGAATCAACGCAATATTAACCACTTTCAATGCAACATAGTGAAACAAAACAAACTATGCAAGAGATTTTGTTGTAGCCAGAACGCATCAGAGTAGGATTCTATTGCCCACGACTCAGCCACTACTCTACACAGACCGGTGCGGCATAACCAATCAGAGCTGCAATAGGCCTATATGCAAATAGACTATTGCCATATATGGATCTGTGCAATTTATTTTGAAATGGACTGTTTATAGCTGTGGTCGTGAGTAGATGTGCTTGTTTTGAGATCAAAACAAGAGCTGCATGTAGCCACATGTGCACATTTTGTTCATATCCTTTGCTAGTTAGAGTTATTAGCCCAGTTATAAATAATTTGTAGTCAGAGATAGGGGAGTGATTGCTTCCTACAAGAGCACAAAACGTGTACATTTCTACACATCTTTGAAAAGCAAGTCAGTTCTATATCGTAGAGCTCCGCCCCATAGGGGAGCTCTGCTCCTATTGGTTTACCTACTGCCCTAAGGCAGCATCAGCCTGAGACAAAATTATACACACACCTGCAGCCAATAGGAGTACAGGTGTCCCTATAAGAGGGGATGCCTCCCCTCAATCAGCCTCCCTTTATCTTCAGCGACTGGACTAGACTGAAGAAGCCAAGAAGAGACGAAGAGAAGACTCAGGACGAGATACGACGTCAATTTTCCAGTTCATCGACGTCGTCCTAAATGAGCACACCAGGAAATGTTCCACCCTCAAAAGCTCTTTTCAGAGCTCAATGCCGCTGTTCCTCCATGGTGGCTCTGTTTCGTGTGTTTGGTTGCGCAGCACGCCAAGGATGGAATCAGCGATCCCCCTATTTGCGTCAGCTGCGCCCTCCTTTCTTTAAAGGAGAGGAAGCAGCGCTGGGCATTTTTCAGGGAGGATATCCCCTTGGAGGATGTGCTCTCAGTGCTAGCCTCAGCCTCTGAGGCATCATCTGAGGGCACCGACTCTGAGGATGACAGGAA